CGCACGGATATAGGGCGAATTTCGATATATGGTGGATAAGTTTGCTTCTTTCAAAGAGATGGGCATCACTCTCGTTTATGATGGAACACAATCTCTCGACGCGAGTGTGGACATCAATGATTTGTATGTTAGAAGAATCTCTTCTTATGACGATACGGGATTCCAATCTGTGTTAGATACGTCAACCCTACCTTTCGGTGATTGTGCGTTGAGTTCGATTGCTATTGATGAGAGCGAGTGTATGGACTCAGAGGTTGATACCGTGCATGGTATGGGGGATAATTCACTTGAGGATTCCCTTGTGCCGAGTGGTGTTGAAAGAGCTCGGGATGATGATTGTGAGGAGGAGGTAGTTCATGGTGTCAAGGATGAGGTCGAGGAGGATGCCGAGTCATTATGTGAGGCCATTGACCCGAACTGTGCATTGATGAATGACCTGACTCATGATGTTGAGTACGAAGTGGTTCCCATGTCCTTTGGGTGGTCATTTTGTGTTATCGAGGATGGTGAACATTTGGAGAAGTTTAGTGCTTACATGCACATGCTTCCGACTCCCAAAATTATTGAGCACACATCCGAGATGGCATTGGTGATGACCGGGCTGGATTCGACATGCTCCACAGATATGTTCATAATTCCGGAGTTCGAATATGGGGCCTTGGTACGTAAAGAAATATCTTTTCTCTTGATGGGTGTTGATATCCGTGTTCGGTTTCACAAGAATACGGACACGAGAGTCTACTTTGCTTGCCTCTATTCCTTGCTACCAACGAGACTACTGTTGGAGAATACGAAGGTGTGGCATGATCGACACTTTTTCTTGGACCCCGGTTGATTTCGGTTCAGGTTTCGTCAAGCTAATGACGTTAAACAAGCGCTTCTTGGGAGGCAGCCCAAGTGATTTATCGCTTTCTTAGATATTTTTCTTTACGCTTTTAGTTTTATCTTTAATTAATGGGAGTTCTGGAGTCTATGTTTTTCTGATTGGCAGGTATGAGTTCGCGAGGCTGAGGATAAGCGAGCAGCTCACATGGGAATGCCTACTCTACTTGATGCATCTTCGGTTTGCACACCTTTTCTCTTTTTGTCTTTTTTGAGTTGTTTCCCCTTTTAGCCTTTCTTTTGAGTTTTGTGGTCTTATGGTAGTTGCTAGTATTAGTTCATTATGTGAAATTGCTAGGTCTAGTTATTTGACTTCCCGGTTATGTGTTGAAGCAATGAGGACATTGCCTCATTTTAAGTGTGGGGGAAGTTGACTTTGATTTTGCATGCTTATATGGTGGACCGGTCTAGTGTAGGTTTTGTGCGTTTTTTTTAGTATGGACTTTGGAAATTTCAAAATTAGTTAAGACTTGTTTGATGGATTCGATGAGTTGTGATGTTGGTCATATGCGGCATAGCGTGATGAAATGCTTGGTTGATTACTTTGATTGGCATCCATATATCTACCTAGTGAGGTTTGAGCCTTATTTGTTTTCTTGTGATACATTGGTTGTGCTCTTGTTCGATTAGAACTTGCCCTAAGTCTGCATTGAAATAAATTGATTAGAATTGTGAACTGTGTATATGATTAAGGCGTTTATTGTATTATATCCTTTTCTTTCTCTACAAATTATTCTCTAGACTCCCCTTTTGAGCCTTTTTTGATTTTTGTTGATAACCTCGTAATGATGACGTTGTTGGAGTTGCGGGTTAAGAATTGGAGGGGATGATTGTTGGAGTTGTTTGTTCTTTATCCAAAAAAAAAAAAGAA